GTGAGTATATTGTTTATTTAACTGCCATGAACTGATTGGTGATTCAGCTTGATAATTAACTATAGAAAATGTATCCATGTTAAATAAGAATATATCTTAAGATCTGACATCATTGTTAACACCCTTAAGAAAGTCTGATATAACCCGATCTCTTTTGTTTTACCAGAGAGCGAGGAGTTGAAGAAAAGTATGAACATCTTTGGGGAGAACAGTTCATCACAGAAACCATCCTTGGGAAGAAGTTCCGTGTGTCACCTGATGCTTTTTTGCAAGTATGTCTCTAAGTATTCAATTTTATGCCTTTGACAATTAGTGGAGAAGTATACTGTGGTAATACAAGAGTTTTTATATCAGGAACCTATTTTATACTAAACTATTTATTTACCTATTATTTATGATATTTTATGGCAGAATTCATATTTGGGTTACTCCATTTCTGATTTGTATATATAAGATTTTATATCATAGAGTGCTATCAAGTGAAGATAATGGAAAAATATGTCCATTATGCAGTACCCAAATGTATTACGCATTTTTAGGCTACCAGTTAGGAGATTGCAGGTATTCACATTGTAAGTTAATGATACTACTCTGTGGTTATAGTAGATACTGCCAAACTTTTATGGCATAGTATTACACTGATTTTGTTTTCAAATTAATTTACTTTGGAACTGATTCAAAGAATTTTCTATCATATAGGTAAATACAGCTGCTGGGGAAGTACTCTATGAGACCATTGGCAATGTGGCAGCTCTAGATGGCACCTCAGTGCTACTTGATGTTTGCTGTGGCACTGGAACAATTGGTATCTCACTAGCCGAGGTAAGTCTTATTTCCGTTCATCAAATTATGAGGTAAATGTTTTTAATATTTGGTATCTTGATTTGGACAGTACATGGTAACATAATAGGTTCATAAGATTTGTTAGACTTGATGTGGTTTTGCTACACTCATTATTTGAAATTTTACCCCTAGATAACTTGTTTTATTTTTTCAGCGGTGCTTGAAAGTATATGGAGTAGAACTGGTGAAAAAAGCTGCAGAGGATGCAAGGTTTAATGCTGAAAATAATGACATCAAGAATGTTGTTATATATGAAGGGAAAGCTGAAGATCATGTAAAAACAATGGTAGAAAATTGTGAGCAATATGACACCATTGGTGTTGTTGACCCACCACGTGCAGGACTACGTAAGTAATGATTAAGTTTCTGAAGCCACAGGTCACTACTTAGGCACATCTCTGATCCCAGAGCTATCTCAAGCTCATCAGCCTTCTGTTTAGGTTACCTTACAGTTGCAGTTCAGTTGGCTAGGTGTAAGTAGCAACATATTAACAGAATTCGTAACATGGTTCCTCAATTTCTTGTGTAATTTTCAGCTATATATAAGATAAAATCTACATCTTCGTGCTATATTTAGGCTAAAATCAACATTATAACTTTGATTAAAAACAGTTATGAATAAAGAGCAGTTAAATGAGTTTAAAACTTGATTTTACAGTTACTATTATTTAGGATAATTTATATATGATAGTAAATTATTTGTTCTAGTCTTTCCCATCATTTTGGCTTACAAAATATAGTCATGCTAAAAAAAAGGTCAAGACAATCATGATGTCCAGGTTTGGATTAAAAATGTGGTTGTTTAATATGTTTGACTCCCAGGTGTAAAAAGTTAACAGTGAAGCAATGTGATGGAAAATACAAGAGATTAGAATGTGTTACTTTTCTAACAGATGGAAATGTGGTCTGTGGCCTTCGTCGCTGTGAGAACATGAAACGCCTTGTGTATGTGTCTTGTGATCCAGCCAATGCATGCAAGAATTTTATCAACTTGGCCAGAGGGAAGAGCAAACAGTACAAAGGCGACTTCTTCATACCAATAAGGTAAGAAACTTTTGTGGTTGAAAATGCTCCTCTTTGGTTTTCTCTTTTAGTTCATCATGCACGTATTAATTGTGCATTAGTTTATATATTTACTTTATTATTTGTATTATTTTTCTTGTTGTTCTTGCTCTTTGTCCTTCTTCATGCTCCTGAATGTACTTCTTATTGCATTGCAGGGCAGTTCCCATTGACCTCTTCCCACACACTCCTCACTTTGAGCTGGTTATTCTCTTTGAGCGGTGGGATGAGCTGAAGTGGCGACGCATCATGGAAGGTAAGATTGATGTGTTTATGTGCCATAGTCTAGACAGAGATATGTGTACTGCAGCTTCTAGTACAGTGGTTGTCATTTTCATAGGTTTATGTGGATGAGATGTCACAAAGATATTTCTGTGAAGTGGTTAATAGCAAACTTCTTTTGCAGGTGATCCCCTACCTCGTGATGCTGAGTACTTCAAACGCATTCCTTCTATCCATTATGATGCTAAAAAAGCTGATAGGGAAGGGAAGGTGAGTTGCATATGATTTATATATATGTATATATACATATATATATATATATATATATATATATATATATATATATATATATATATATATATATATATATATA